CACACACACACACACAAACACACACACAGACAACCCCGTAAAAATATGCGTTTTGTACTGCTGTTACACAGCACAAAACGCATAAAAAATGAGAATGCTTCGAATGGCTTTCTATCCAGAATCTCGACCGGCGCACTCTCTTCCGCGGTAGATGCCCTTTGTGCGGAAGTACGACCGTCGATAGCTGAGCTAAAGTGTCGCAGAAGAAGATATGAAAGGGATGGGATACATTTTTCTGTGTTTGTGCACGGAACAAAACAAGGTGAGTTGATAAAAGACTATCAGAATCTGTAATGAGTCGGCAACCCTCAGGTAACAGAGTCTTGGGCGCAGCAGCTGCAGCATAGGCAGAGTACCACAGCAAATAAATCTGCAAGTTCGTCGTACCGCGTTAGCTTCGAGTTGTCCCGTACTTTCCGAGCATCGCTGCTCGAAAGAATGCTTCCTTTTGGAATAGAGCTGTAGAGATGATAAATTGCCTTCTTCCTGTACCGTGCTGAGCAACAGTCACAATTATTCTTTTATTTCATCAAATATTTCTTACAAACTAATTGAGAAATGTTTTTAACAAGATATGCCTCTTGCATATTTTCGAACAGAATCGCCCTAAAATTCTTTATTATTTTTTTGCACAGCTGGTGAGAGCTTCATCGGGCAGCGACAGCGACAGCGAGATGGAGGTGCCGATGGATGTTCTGCCGGCTCCGAGCGTAAGAACTGGAAAAAGAGCGAAGCGTTCGGCGGTGAAAAAGAAAGCAAAGAAGCGCCGGAAATACTCGTCGGGTTCGTCGCCGAATTCGTCGTCGTCAGAATCATCGGATTCCTCGTCGGGCCACTCAAGTTCAGACTCAGTCGAGGCTCGCAGCCGCCCGTCCGTTCCGCAAGCTCTTTGCGTATGCTTTCCACTTTTGAATCGAGTTTTGTGAAAGTCTGAGCTTTGCATTCCAAATTTCAACATATTCGATGTACTTTTTTAGACAACCGATCGGTGGTGTTTCATGACGGAATTCGATCCCACGAATAAGCGATCATACATGCTTATGGAGATGAAGGGCGATCGCGCCAACTTGCACTACCCGTCGCTGTTCAGTGGCGATGTTGCAAGCTA